TCTCTCTCACACACTCTCTCTCTCTCACACACTCTCTCTCTCTCACACACTCTCTCTCTCTCACACACTCTCTCTCTCTCACACACTCTCTCTCTCTCACACACTCTCTCTCTCTCACACACTCTCTCTCTCTCACACACTCTCTCTCTCTCACACACTCTCTCTCTCTCACACACTCTCTCTCTCTCACACACTCTCTCTCTCTCACACACTCTCTCTCTCTCACACACTCTCTCTCTCTCACACACTCTCTCTCTCTCACACACTCTCTCTCTCTCACACACTCTCTCTCTCTCACACACTCTCTCTCTCTCACACACTCTCTCTCTCTCACACACTCTCTCTCTCTCACACACTCTCTCTCTCTCACACACTCTCTCTCTCTCACACACTCTCTCTCTCTCACACACTCTCTCTCTCTCACACACTCTCTCTCTCTCACACACTCTCTCTCTCTCACACACTCTCTCTCTCTCACACACTCTCTCTCTCTCACACACTCTCTCTCTCTCACACACTCTCTCTCTCTCACACACTCTCTCTCTCTCACACACTCTCTCTCTCTCACACACTCTCTCTCTCTCACACACTCTCTCTCTCTCACACACTCTCTCTCTCTCACACACTCTCTCTCTCTCACACACTCTCTCTCTCTCACACACTCTCTCTCTCTCACACACTCTCTCTCTCTCACACACTCTCTCTCTCTCACACACTCTCTCTCTCTCACACACTCTCTCTCTCTCACACACTCTCTCTCTCTCACACACTCTCTCTCTCTCACACACTCTCTCTCTCTCACACACTCTCTCTCTCTCACACACTCTCTCTCTCTCACACACTCTCTCTCTCTCACACACTCTCTCTCTCTCACACACTCTCTCTCTCTCACACACTCTCTCTCTCTCACACACTCTCTCTCTCTCACACACTCTCTCTCTCTCACACACTCTCTCTCTCTCACACACTCTCTCTCTCTCACACACTCTCTCTCTCTCACACACTCTCTCTCTCTCACACACTCTCTCTCTCTCACACACTCTCTCTCTCTCACACACTCTCTCTCTCTCTCTCTCTCTCACACACACTCTCTCTCTCACACACACTCTCACACACATACACACCTCTGCTGCTTCTGACATTTTGATGACCATGGCGCTCACGACATCATCGGCGTCACTGATGAACGTCCCTCCATCTCGATTGTGTCTGCGTTTGCCGCTCTGGGCTTTCTTACGGGCCAGCATGATGTCAAAGTCTGACATGAAGGACATGCTGAAACACACACGTGTGCGGTTACATCATGTGCAGAGACACCTCTGAGCGTCACAGCACAATCGACTTCCTGTTTGCTGTTATTATGGCATTACTGAATGAACGACTCACTCTTTTCCTCCTCTGTCCACATCGTCGTCTGAATCAGAGTCGATCTCCGCTCCCTTCAGCCCCGACGCCTGAGTCTGCGACCGCTCGGCCTCCAGCTCCTCTTGATTGAAGCCCTGAACACACACAGGGTCAAAGGTCAAAATAACAAAAACAATTCGCCCATTAATCACTGAGTAGCGAAACGGTTTTGATAAAAATAATTATTGGTTATTAATAATTGGATTATAATTATGAGTTATTATTAATTATGATTAATGAATATCAAGATAATTCTTCCTATGCAAACCTGAAATCAATAATGGTACTCGTTTGGCACTATTATCTTCTGTAGAGCTGCTTTACAGCTGACATTTAAATTTCATTAATTATTAGATTAATAATTTTGCAACATTAACACTTATTTTCCTGTTTATCACTGTGAATGTGTTTTAAAATAATGTATTGTATAAAGCACTATATAGAAATAAATGTGACTCAAGACTATTTATAAGGAAGTCTGACATTAACTAATGAATTTCATAAAAAAAATCACTTGAAATAAAATAAACATTAACTGAAATAAGATTTTAAAAAATTAATAAATAAAATTATTTTATTTCAGCTTGTTGCCAAAATTCCAAGTAATATTTCTCGTTTTCATTTAGTTTAATTTAAGGTACTAAAATAAACTAAAACTAAATAAAAATTAATAAAAAAAAATATATAGAGATAAAAAAACTAAATATAAAAACTAATTCAAAATATTATTTAAAAAAAATAGCATCTCAATATTAAAAAACACTGATGCATTTCTAAAATGACACTATTTTCTGTAAACGCTACTTTACAGCTGACATTGAATTTGTTTCATAATTGATTCATTTTGCAACATTAACAGTTAATTCCCTGTTTTTGTTTTCTCTGTGAAGCTGCTCTGAAATAATCTATATTGTATAAAGTCCTGTAAAAATAGATGTGACTTGACTAGAGATAATTATTCATATGCAGATCTGATGCAGTCTCACCGTAAACTCCTCCTCTTCCTCTTCGCCGGACTCTCCAAAGATGTCTGCAATCATTTTCCTGAGGGACAGAAAGAGACGGTTACACACACACACACACACACACACTCACT